TCGATGTCTTGTCTTCGAATATCCATGTGGAATGTCTTTGGCGTTTCACGGCACAAACTTGAAATAACTCAATTCCTCAATAAAAACCAAATAGATGTAATGCTGCTGGCAGAAACGCATCTCACAAGTAAATACAACTTCCAAATAAGAGGTTATACTTCATACTGCACAGATCATCCGGACGGTAAGGCTCACGGAGGAACTGGAATCCTAATCAGGGAACGCATTAAACACCACTTTCACCAGAGGTTTGCAACACATTATTTGCAGGCTACATCTATAAAATTGCAAGCAGTTTGCAAGTATCACTATAGCCGCTGTCTATTGCCCACCGCGTTTTACAATAACTGAAGAGCAATTCTTGGACTTCTACAATTCACTCGGAGATCGCTTTATAGCAGGAGGAGACTACAACGCCAAGCACACGCACGGATCAAGACTCGTGACCCCAAAGGAAGACAACTGTATAAAGCAATTATAAATTTGAGCAACAAACTCGACTATGTCTCCCCTGGCAGCCCCACATATTGGCCAGCTGACCCCAGAAAACTCCCGGACTTAATTGACTTCGCTGTGACCAAGAACATCCCAAGAAATTTAGCAAGCGCCAAATCGCTATCGGACTTATTAACGGACCACTCGCCTGTTTTAATAACTCTCCTTCAAAGCCCGAAAGTAATCGAGCACCCCTTCAGGCTGACCTCGACTAGAACTAACTGGCTAAAGTACAAAATGTACGTAAGTTCCCACATTGAACTAACACCACAGTTAAACATAAAGAACGACATCGACTTCTGTGCTGATGCCCTGGAGTCAGTACTCGTGGCAGCAGCCAAAATCTCAACACCAGAAGAGACAATCGTGCGTAGCAACCAATACAAAACTGATCTGCAAATCGAACAACTGGTTCGGGAAAAACGACGTCTACGACGCGCTTGGCAATCCTGCAGATCGCCCCATTCGAAGCAACTCTATAATGATGCCACCCGCAGACTCACCAAAACCCTCAAGCAAGAAGAGGAGCTTGCGCAGCGCCAGTACATCAAGAAACTGTCGCCGACCAGAACAAAGCATCCTTTGTGGAGAGCTCACCCAAATTTAAGCTCTCCGATAGAATCAGTCTCTCCAATTAGAAACTCCTCGTGTACTTGGGCCCGCAGTGACGAAGACAGAGCCGAAACATTTGCTTTACGCCTACGAAATGTATTTTAGCCGAACGCTGCCACAAACTCTCTTCAACTACAGCCGCTTAGCTCTGAAATTGCAATTAACCCGAATTTGTTTCAAACACCTGAAATGTCATTAGGAAGCAAATAAAACCGAAAAAGGCTCCAGGGGGCGACCTAATAACCCCAAAAATGATAATTGAACTTCCAAACTGCGCGGTGGATTTAATATGCTAGCTATTTAAGGGGATCACAAAACTTGGCTACTACCCCAAAAAATGGAAAAAGTCCGTGGTTATAATGATACCGAAGCCTGGGAAAGACCACACAATTCCCTCATCGTACAGGCCAATAAGCTTACTATCGTGCCTGTCCAAATTACTAGAAAAATGCATGCTCATGCGCATTACACCATATTTAAAAGAACAAAACTTAATCGCGGCACATCAATTCGGGTTTCGTGAAAGAAACGGAACCATCGAGCAAGTCAACCGGATAACTTCAGAAATTCGTACAGCCTTCGAACTTCGGGAATATTGTAGTGCGATATTCCTCGACGTCTCTCAGGCATTCGACCGAGTCTGGCTTGAAGGCCTTATGCATAAAATCATAACATTACTGCCAGAAAACTCACATAAGTTACTTAAGTCGTACCTCTACCACAGAGTCTTTGAGGTGAGATGCAATGCAACGACATCCAACTAGTATAACATTGAAGCCGGAGTCCCACAAGGTAGCGCCCTGGGCCCTACCCTGTTTGTCCTATACACAGCAGACATCCCTACGAACGAGAGGCTGACTACGTCCACATTTGCTGACGACACCGCAATCCTGAGCCGCTCGAGATGCCCAACTACAGCAACAGCTCAACTGGCTGATCATTTGGTGGTAGTTGAAAAGTGGCTATCAGACTGGCGAATCAAAATTAATGAACAAAAGTGTAAACATATAACGTTTACCCTTAACAGACAATCGTGCCCCCCGCTAACTTTGAATAGTACGCAGATTCCCCAAGCCAGCGATGTAACATATCTCGGCGTCCACCTCGACAGACGCCTAACCTGGCGGAGGCACATTGAATGCAAGAAAGTACATCTAAGACTTAAAGCTAGCAGCCTACACTGGATTATAAATTCTCGATCACCCCTGTGTCTGGACTTTGAAGTTCTTCTCTACAACTCCACCCTTAAGAACTACGGCTCCCAACTCTGGGGGAACGCGAGCAACAGCAACGTTGACATCATACAGCGCTCACAATCAAAAATCCTGCGAACAATCACTGGGGCACCATGGTATGTTCGGAACGAAAACATCCACAGGGATCTAAGTATACCACCGGTCAAAGATGAAATAGCAAAGCAGAAAGCGTCCTACCATAACAAGCTTACACTGCACCCAAATAATCTCGCAACGAACCTAACAAGGGTTTCGAACAGAACTCGTCTGCATCGTAACGATCTAAAATTCAGTATACATGACTGTAAGTTAAGTTATATTGTTAAGATTTGATATACTTATTGTTAGTCCCATATAGAGAAGATTCAATAAATAAAGCGTATATTAAAAAAAAAAAAATTTAGAATAACTTTACCATAAGTTTTCTATAATTGATGTATCTGTGGCTGAAAGTAACATAATCCTGAATTCATAATCTCCTGTGATAATAGATGTATCTTTGGCTGCGTGCGTTTCTTAGATGGGATTATTGATATAACTAATATTATGGAAGACATTCGTCTGAAAATTTACATAGCTATGTCATAGCAAGGCATTGGATTCTAAGAATCTCTGTACTCTCTGCAGAAAACACAGCAATCAGTATCTGATGAGAATTCAATTTACAATTTCAGGTATCCAACAAGAGGAATAATTTTAGTTCAGTTCTAGGCCTTCTTAAGGAAATAAATTTGTGTGAGAATAAAAAAAACATAATGTTATCTGCAATTTTAAAAAAATTTAAAAGCATTGCAATCAGTCATATTCAGATTTTTACATCCACTCTGCATTCATGTCTCGTTAAAGCCTAGTACTCAGATCGACAAACGAGTACGCTATCGCAAAAACTTTGATCTTTCCAGTGACCAAAATTTCTACGGTCGTACTGTCAGTCAGCTGGGCTTCTTGACAATCAGTTAAAATTCAAATATCGTATTTGCGGGAAAGAGCCTTTAAAAGATATTATCAACTACCTTGGCAAGACAAGTCTACCGCTGTACAAAGAAATAAAAAACAATACAATTTAAATTTATCAGTTGTTTTTTTTTAATTTACTGATATTTATTTGCTAATTTAAACTTCATAGCTGACCTTTTATTGTATTTTCGTAATTTTTTGACCTAAGAAACATTTTGCTCTGACAAGAGGCACCCCAGATAGTATTAATGTTATTTTGTCCTCACATGTAAACTCCTGCAATCGACTTTTGCGGGTTTTTCGATTTTTTCCCTCCATTTTTTAAAATGTTCAGTAAGAACGCACGCCAAAAGATTAATTTTTTTATTCTTTTCGCTAGGGTTCACCCAAAGTTCATTTCCGCAGACTGGCAACGCTATGCAATTTCCTGCTATTTTTTCGTCGATCTGAGTACCGAGGTGGAGCTGTTTGCCTCTCGCTCTCTCTCATGACTGGCGTACAGTTTTCGTCGATCTGAGTACTAGGCTTTAACAATAAACCCATGGGGAATCAAGGTCACTCAGTAAATGTGTGGACAAACTTGAGCAACACACATTCTCGGACAAAGGACATCTTATATTTGTATAAAACTATTTCTATTAAACTATTTTCCAGTAAAAGTATTTATCTAAAGCAATTATTTAAAACAAGAAAATATAAACTTAGTTTTCAAAGCACTCATAAATATTTAAATACAATTTGATAACGGCTTGTGTTTTCCAGGTATATGAAATTGTTCAAAGTGATTCAATATAAACAAGAGAGAACGCTATAGTCGAGTGCCTCGACTATTAGATACCCGTTACTCAGCTAAACAACTTAATATATACCTTGGTCAGCTGTTCCAAAGCCATCCGTTAGATGCCGCTATTGTATTGCGCCATCTACCCCATGTAGAAATGTAGGCGCTAGCCAAGCTTAAGCGTTTAATGGGTTTTTGGGCGTTAGAGTGGGCGTGGCAAACTTTAGGCCAATCGATAGGTATTGACGAAACAAATACATATCAATTAAAATTTTCATAATAGCATCAAAACTGTGGCCACAGCTTGTGGCTTCCGAGATCTCAGCGTTCATACGGACAGACAGACGGACAGACAGACGGACAGACAGACATGGCTAGATCGACTCGGCTAGTGATCCTGAACAAGAATATATATACTTTATAGGGTCGGAAACGCTTCCTTCTACCTGTTACATACTTTTGCACGAATACAATATACCCTTTTACTCTACGAATAACGGGTATAAAAATGTTCTAAAGTGTCGAAGGACTTATGAATTAACCCTTATGTGAACTTATTAAAAATTTCACATGAAGAGGGAAGGGACATTCCATACAAAAAGTCAATGTGAAATTTAATCGGTGGTCCACCAGAAATACAACCTCTGTCATGGCTGATACTGCAGAGCATGATCAGAGGCCCAAACATACAAAAAAAACTGCATTTACGCCCCGTTTAAGAGAAATTTATAGAATGAAAGTTAAATCTGAATCCAGACTGTCAATACAGCCAGACAGCTCAATCGATAATCTTTTTATCGTTGCTCAATAAGGGCCTTTAAACAAAATTTGAAAAAAATACATATTTGCAAGCCCTTTGAGGCACTGAAAAAGATCCCATAGGTACAAACAAAAATATAAAAAATAATTATATTACTTACCTGATCAGACCTCAGATGTTCAGTTTCCTTAGGTTTTTCTTTCAAAAGCTCTGATTGATCTGTTATTTCTTCCTCCTCTTTTCCCTAATTTAGTGTATTATCTCATGAACAATCGATTTGACATTAGTGTAAGAATATACAACATACCTCCTGTGAAAAGTTTGCATCTTTGTTTGTAACTGACCGATGTTCAAGGACTGCCAAATTCTTGTCCTAAATAACATAAAAAAATACTAATATATTTGTTTAGGTAGCAAAAAATTAATCTATTTAAATTTATTGATTTTTGATAATCAAAACATTTAAAAAATCTGCTTTGCTGTTCAAATAAATAACAAATTATCAATTTGAATTTGGCGATCTCTTAGAGCTGGCAGCTTTACAGCACGAGCATCAGCACCAGCGCTGCTTTAGCGCAGGCAGCTTTTGTCCTGCACCAGCAGCTGTGTTTATGTTTATGTTTTTGAGTGCAATAAATTGACTAGAAATATTAAACATACATACTTATATTGGATAAACACATACATTCTTAAATAGTATTATGTATATTAAAGTCTAAATGTTTGCACAACACGAGTAACGGGTATAGCGAATAGCTTTCTTTGAAAGGAGTTATCTTTGCCGGGCAATTGCAACTGTGTACAATGTAAATACATACATATGTATATGCTTACATACATACACACATACGCCATTGTTTGACTCAGACCTCCAATTTGGCTAACTTGATTTGATTTGCAAAGTTCTTGGGATATAGTATTGACAAATGAAAACCATCGCAATTTCCTTTAATAGAAATCCTTATCGAGAATTAACGGCCAGCTGTTCCAAAGTCATCCGTTAGATGGCGCTACCACGGGTCATGAAAGGCGGAAATGTAGGCGCTAGCCAGACTAAGCGTTTAATAGGTTTTTGGGCGTTAGAGTGGCAAATCGATAGGTATTGACGAAACAAATACATATCAATTAAAATTTTCATAATAGCATCAAAACTGTGGCCACAGCTTGTGGCTTGTGGGCGTCAGAGGGGGCGTGGCACCAGTTTGAAACAAACTTGCGCTGCGTAGGAACTCCTAAAATCTACATGCAAAATGCCAATCTTCTAGCTTTTATAGTTTCCGAGATCTCAGCGTTCATACGGACAGACAGACAGACGGACAGACGGACATGGCTAGATCGACTCGGCTAGTGATCCTGAACAAGAATATATATACTTTATAGGGTCGGAAACGCTTCCTTCTACCTGTTACATACTTTTGCACGAATACAATATACCCTTTTACTCTACGAGTAACGGGTATAAAAATAATAAATTAACATTAAGAAACATTTATTATTTAATATATAAAGTGCTTAAATTAAGAAAAGACAATTGAGTATATCTTTTTCAATAACTTTGTAACAAGTAAAGAAGAAAAAAAAGTTTTACTGCTACTTTCTAAATTTATGACTACGCAGATTAAGCGTCATAAATCTCTTATTGTTGTAATAAGCAAAAGCACGAATTTTCGAAAAAAAAGGATGATTATTACAACAAATCAATTGAAAGAAGATACTAGTATGACGCTTGGATAGGGCGTGTGATAGTGACAGCCTATATTGAAATCTCAAAAATATTGAAAATATATATAGAAAAGTTTTTGGACTGATATATATTTTTAAAAAGCCATTTAAGCTTAGCGCACTGGTTGGATCTATTATATATCGCAACATTTTAAATTTTACAACAATAAAAAAATTTGACTAGTAAGATTTTCACATTTTCTGCTTTCAACTTTGAAACCGTAATGATAAATCGTTAGAGGTTTATGTTTTGGTTGATAGTCGTTACTTTTACTAAACCGAATAAAATTAGTGATATTTATATGAATGGTTCCAATTTTCAAGGATTTCCATAAAAATGGTTCGATCTATCCTACGCCGCTACACCGGGTGAATTGATGTAGACCTGTTCGTTGGCCATTTTACTAGGTTGGCTATTTTACTTTGCAACACATAATAACATAATAATAAACATAATAACATAATTTTTAGCTATTTCAGAAATACGGTTTTTGTTTTATAAAAATCGGACGACTGGTAAACGGGAATCAAATTATAACTTCGTTGTTTCTTAACATAAGCCCCTTCCGAGATATTGTCATTTTAAACGATATAATTTTGTTTTTCGTTTGGTAAATATCGGACGACTAGAATATTTAATTTATAAAACAGTGGCAGGGGTATATTAACTTTGGCTTGCATAAGTCTTTATTGTGGGCGTTGCTTGTTCATAAAATTAAAGCTTAAGCCTAGTACTCAGATCGACAAACGAGTACGCTAGCGTAAAAAATTTAATCTTTTCAGTGTGACCAAATTTTGAGAGTTCTGAGCGTACTACGGTTTTATTGTCAATCAGCTGGGCTTATTGACAAGCAGTTAAAATTAAAATATCGTATTTGCGGTAAAGAGCCTTTACAAAATATTATCAACTACCTTGGGAAGACAAGTCTGCCATCTGCAACAATACAATTTAAATTTAACAGTTGGTTTTTTTAATTTACTGATAAATATTTGCTTATTTAAAGTTTATAGCTGCACTTTTATTGTGTTTTTTCGTACATTTTTGACCTAAGTAAAATTTTGCTATGACATGAGGCACCCCTCACATGTCAACTCCTGCAATCGACCTTTACGGGTTTTTGATTTTTTCCCTCCATATTTTTAAATGTTCAGTGAGAAGCGCACGCCAAAAAATACAATTTTTTAATCTTTTTACTAGGGTTCCCCGAAAGTTAATTTCCGCAGACTGGCAACGCTATGAAATTTTCTGGTATTTTTTGAGTACCGAGGTGAACAAAAACGTTGACGAAAAGTGTACGCCAGCTGTTTGCCTCTCGCTCTCTCTCATGTCTGGCGTTTTCGTCGATATGAGTACTAGGCCTTACCGCCATGCCGCACCTCAAACCAATAAGCGCGCTATCGAAATTTTATGTCTTGACCACGAGTTTTCGTCGCCCATCTCAAAAGTTCATGGAATGTGAAATTGGCGGCATAGAGAAAGAAACTAGATAAAAGTTTCATTTGCTCTGCCCGTGCTCTCGAGTGACTTTGCCAGTGATGCCACGTAGGGAAAAATCTGAAAAAAGAGAGTTTTTCATTTGTTCGATCGAACTGGAAACGAGTCCCGCGGTGAGTTTCTTATACTAAGGTTTGGTGCCAGATTTCCCCATACTATTGCTTGTGCCTCGCACATGTTGGGTGTGGTGAGAAACCGAAGTTAGCTTAAAACATGGCTCTCAGCAGAGCTTTGGCAGAGGGGCGGGCAGAGCAAATAAAACCTCTATATAGATTCTTACTCTATGCTGGCGGCACGACAACATAATTTAATAAATATAATCTAATTTTAATTTGAGTTTACACAATTGTACTTGGCTAAATAATCTTAATCTTTAATATTTGTGTTCTAAGTTGTCATTTATTTAACCTAAAATTAACAAAATATAAGCACACTACTTAACTCAACCATGTAGTAACAACTTAAAAGTTTGGCTAGATAATGAACCAATTTTGAATAAGTTGAATGACTACCTTTGACAGTTGGACCACTTCTTAACAATGCCGAATTAAATTCAGATATGTTGAATATTTTCCGCTTGCGGAAGTTTGTGTGCAAGATCTCTTTTTTACGTTCAATGCCATGTGACACAACCTGCGGACAATTTCGAAAGAGCCATTTTGTACAATGCCCGAATTGTGCTTCGGATAATAGCCTTGATAGAACCAAATACTTTCTCTAAAGCCCAGCTTCTCTGCGCTGTCAAGCTAAGCAAATTGATAGTGTAATCTATATATATATATAATCTGATAGTGTAAATAACAGAAATCAATAAATAAAAAGTATAGGCAAGGGTCGGACAGACCAACAGAACATTTAATTTTTTAAGAATTCACAAAAAGTCAGTAATAGAAATAATTTTATAGTCCATTAAAGTCATAGTATTTTATAAGGATAATTTATACATACATAGTTTGCGCATAGTTTTTACATAGTTTCTACTAGGTATAGCAACCCATCTACGTGATTAAATTTATGCATTTCGGTAGTACCAATAGATGGTTTTTTAATTACTAGAAGTCTACTAATGTAAGATTTGTTTTTCATCAAAGTTACAGCCTTGTAGAGAAAATATAACAAAGCCTGGTTCTTCTGTGGACTGTATATGATATATTAATTACAGGAAGTATTATAAAATGTGCATCGTTGTTAGAGCAAAATAGTAAAGAGTTCTTTTACACAAACTCGTTCAATACATTCAGTTGTAAGTTAACGTATACGGGGCAAAATGTGGGTTGATTCAAAGAATTTGTCAAAAAAATGTGTCATAACACCATGTTTAAAAGCTTTTAAATGAATTGTTAAATCCCTGCCTATAATTAACTAAAATTAATTTAATAAGAAAGTAAATATCTAAAAGATTATTTGTATTCCCTATTTATCTTCAGCAGCACAGCCTGTGCATTTGATTTTGAGCAGAGTAATAATTAAAATACTAATTTATTGAATTACTAATTGTACGCTCCAATTCTGGAGCACGACAATTTATGTTCGACCAATCAGTCTCTAGTGATCAATTTGCCGATAGATGGAAGGTCGCATCATCCCATTAATTATGCAAATGAATTACAATTTCAAAGTAGTCTAAGCCCTAACAGATTACCCAGGTCTTAGAGCCCACGAGCTCATGGTGCCGAAGAAATTCACTCCCATAAACATTAAAAATTCTTTTTTATGAGACCTATAGTAATTGCACAAACAGTTTTATCCCTTCATATATCCTTTCGTTTATATGGCAGCTAAATGATATTGTTGTCGGATTTTAATTTAATTAAAACCGTAATTCCATTATATTACCAAATCCCAAAGAACCAAAAAAAAATTAAATACAGCAAAGTCATAATTTTTTTGAATTCTTTTTTTCCGATGGTTCCTATAAGAACTATATCCCCTTTGGGAAAGTTTCAAGCATATAGCTTTAAAACTGAGGGACTAGTTTGCGTAGAAACGGACGGACGGAAAGAAGGACATGGCTAGATCAACTTTCCTGGTGATGCTAATCAAGAATATATATACTTTATAGGGTCGGAAATGGCTCCTTCACTGCGTTGCAAACTTTTGACTGAAATTATAATACCCTCTGCAAAGGTATAAAAATACAAATATAAGTTGCCAGT